CTGGTAAAGCTAGACATCTTGCTATTCTTGCCACTCACCCGCCTGGTGCCAGCTACCTGCAGTGGGAACAGATGAAGAAGAAAATCCCCTGCAATAAGGAGAACATTATTGCCTTTTCTTTTTTTTTTTTTTTAATTTCTTTTGTGAGAGTGAGAGATGGGATGAGGGTGGGGAGAGAGAAAGACATGTACCCTCAGCAGGGTCTCATGCAGTGGTTCCACTCCCAGACTTCCCAGCCAGCCATGATCATGGGTGCAAATCCTATATGAACAAGTCGACTGGGGAGTTGATCCCACAATCTTCTTTATGGGTGCAGCTTCACTTGAGCAGTTTGTCACTGCAGTGACACCAACACCAAACTGACCCATCGCCCTGTTTTGTAATGTAACCAGATGTGATTCTTCTCCTCTGCCAAGGAGTGGTTATTCTCTTCTTCCATAGAACATTTATTGAATGCCAACTATGAACTAGACACTGTGCGCACTTAGTCCTCCCAGTGTCCCCACAATAAATAAGTGACAGAGCTGTGATCCAAGGATTAGAGTCTAATGGGACATCTAGACTTTTCCTCCATGCCATGCTGTTTCTTGGGATTGTGCTTTTAGTTGACTTTGTCCAAGCTTGCTTTGATCTAGTAGCAGGAGAGAGGACTGAATTGGAACATAAATTGGTTTCCATACCTCTCTAAGTTTATTTCTTCCATGAGCAAGAGAGAAAGAGACAGCAACTCTAATAGGATTTTGGCTCCATGATCCACCCCCAGGCTTCAGCCAGCCCTGGATCGTGGGCAAGCATGTGCCCAGCATACCCAAAGAGGTCCCTGGGCCTGAACCATGAACCTCTCCATGTAGGACTGCTTCACAGAACATCAGATTTTCCCACTGCACTACCGTCTGGCTCTTCTGTCCCTCTTTTCATCTCTGTCAAATCTAAATCTTCACTCCGTTCAGCTGTTTGTAAAATTATTCACTTTAAAAGCTTTGTGTGGGGCCCAGTAGGTGACATGGAGGTTCACATGCTAGATCCCACATGACCAACTTTGCATTTCAATTCCTGGACCCGGTAACTTGAGAAACACTCTAAGCATGTGTGCGTGCATGCCCAACATTCTGAGAGAATAGAGACGGGATGGATTGTGGCATAGCCATCACCCCGGGGGAGTGAGTTCTCACTTTCTCTCTCTCTCTGTCTCTCTCTCTGGTGAACTCATGCACACTATGGCAAAAACTTTTTTAAAAAAGGTTTTGTATTATTGGAGTGGAGGGATGGATGTCTCATGATTTTCTATATTGTAGGAGGGGAATCCATTGAATTAGTATTTATATATTTCCTTTCTGAGCTACCCAGAGTTTTGCACTACAAAGAAACAAATTTGATGTCAAATATTCTTAATATTTTGTAATAATATTTTAAAGTCTGTAAACTGTGACTGATAAAAGAACAGCTAAAAAAAAAATGGGGACACCAAAGAAGTAATTTTTTATGACAAATTACTGTTGGGTTGTTGGAAGAGTCATGACACATATTTGCATAGAAAAAATATGTCCTGGCTTTTCTGACAACACAATATTATATCCAGAGGCCACAGACAATCTTGTCTCTATTCTCTGCCTTTTTATTTCTGGGGAAATTCACTTTTATAAACATAGCTTATTGAGAACTGTGAGAATGATTGAAAATTGTGTGTTCCATTATCTCCGAATTCAGGTGTCAAATCCATTACCTCAAGAGTTTACAAAAATGATTGCATGCACGGAAAGGAAGTCAGACATTTCATGATTCAGAATAAGTGGTATTGCTCTCCCTTCCTACTCCTTTAATTCCCTGCACTTTAATAAAAAATTGTTTGTGCCATAGGGTGCGTGTGCTCACCAGTGAGAGACAAGACACGGAAAGTGAGAAATCACCACCTGGTGGGGATGGCCATGCCACAATCCCTGCTCCATTCTCCTCCTGGGATTTGGGGTGCTCATGCACTTGCGCCTGACATGATTTTCAAGCCACCAAGTTTAGGAATCAAACCACAGTCCACCATGTGGAAGTTCAGCGCCTTAACCACCACACCACTTGCTGGCCCCCTGCATAGGGTATTTTTCAGCCAATCCTGAAAAATGGGGAGACAGTAGAAGATATACTATTGAAGCAACCTAAGTACTAAAATGCCTACTAATTTCTCGTGAAATGCCACATTCATAATTTTTCAACTGTCACTTTTTACTAAAAATAGCAGCTTTAAGCCCACTTGGGATAGCAAATTTGCTGGTTCTTGCAGACACCCAGATGAGTGGGGCTGACCCTGTGGAGACAGAGCCAATGAAGTGATGGTCTGGGCTTCCCTGGCCTGGTTTCTTTGAAGGATGGCTTCTCAGAAGCCACTCCGTCATCACGGGACACACCACGTACTAGGCATAGCATGATGTCTGCAGTGGCCTCTGCAGAGCCACCACACACAGCTATTTAAAATACCTTAAAACACAGCTGTGGCTCTGGCTGTGGTGCAGGCAGGCTGGCACAGGGTGGGGGGGTCGCCTTTGGAGAGCCACACGGACCGCCCCGATTCAGGTGCAGAGGTCAGCTGCAGAGTGTGGAAGAGTGCTGATGGTAAACATTCCAGCAATAGGATGCATTTTGCCATAGTTGGGAAGCATAAAAGAGATGTAGTCAGGGCAGGGAGGGCAGGGGGAGCAGGGAGAGCATCTGGCGACTTAGATGGAAGTGCTGGGTAATGGGTTTCAGAGCTGGTGGGTGGTTTTTTTATGAGCTCTGTTCCTGGGCCAGTTCTAAGTACATGAGCACAGGAGCACATGTGCTGGACAGTCTACCAAACCACAGAGACATCTGGAACTCCAGGGTAGCGGCGAATCCCAGCAGTGGTATGGCTGCTTTGTAAATGCTCAAATTAAATTCAGTAGGACTCCACAAAGTTCTTTGTTGCTGGAATCTTTAATGCCCTGTATAGAATGAGAATATAGAACTATCTTCTCTTTGTGCTTTTCAGTTCCCAAGAAAGCGTTTCTTTGGCTTTTCACTTACTGCGTAGTTACAGGAGGGAAAATTCCATGGGAAGGCGTTTAGAACTTCATGTTTCTAAACCTAGTGCTTTGTAATAGACCTAAAGTGTTTTTCATTTTTTGTTTTTTACTTTTTATCAGCAGTTTCAATTTCCTTTATTGTTCTGAGATCCTGAACGCTTGAATTTTGGTGGAGATCAAATGCCTAAAATCCAAAAGCTTGGGTTTTGTTTTCAGTTTTCAAAAACTAAAGTGAGGCACAGAGCTTTTGCCTTTTTGTGGACTTGTTCCTGTGTTACCTGCTTGTTAGAGTACCACCTTCTGTTTAAGTTTCTTTTGACAACCCTCAGTCCTTAGTTTACCTGAAGTGATTGAAGGAAAATATGGCTGATGTATGTAATATGGTTGAGCTAAACAGGAAAGGTTTGCAGCAGTCAAAAATGAGATTTTTTTAGCTAACTGCTACTTACTAACTTTAATTTTAAAAACTGAACTTTCAACTATCTCTTCTCAATGGAAAACATTTGGAGAATTGAATCTACATTGTTTTTATAAAATTAATAATGTGTGATTGGACACCAACAGGTTAAAAATAGATGGCACTTGTTTATATACCTTTGAGATCTGTTACAGAATATCAGTGTGGGTTAAGGTTTGCATAGGAAATTGGTAACTCAGGGCTTACTACAAAAAGTTCCTATACAGGGACCAGCAATTGGCATAATGGCTATGTCACTGGACTCCCATGTAGTCCACCGCGGTTTGAGTCCAGGACCCGCTGGCTTAAACTCACACCAGGTGCGTGTGAGTGTGTGCCCAAGATCCCGAGAGGAGAATGGAGGAGAAGGGATTGTGGCGTGGCCATCCCCTCTAGGGGGATGATTTCTCACTTTCTATCTCTCTGTCTCTCTTTCTGGCGAGTGCACACACTCTATAGCAAAAAACTCTAAAAAAAATAAAATAAAAAATAAAATTTTGTATACAGCAAAGACTTCTTTTAAGCAGAAATTAAAACAGATCTTTAAAAAAAAAATAAGGGAACCAGCAGTTAGCGTAATGGCTATGTCGCTGGACTCCCATGTAGTTGCCCTCGGTTCGGGTCCCAGACTCGGTGGCTTAAAACTCACGCTGGGCGTGTGTGCGTGCGTGCCCAAGATCCCAAGAGGAAAATGGAGAAGAGATTGCGGCGTGACTATCCCCGAGGGGTAATTTCTCGCTTTCTCTCTGTCTCTGTCTGTCTGTCTGGCGAGCGCACGTGCCCTATAGCAAAAATCTCTCCAAAAAAAAAAAAGAAAAACCAGCCTGTGGGATTTATTGAATGCAGAGCTGACAGCACTGAAGTAGGCATATTGGACTAACTTAAATCTGCCAAAAATAACTTAAGTCAAGGTTCTTTTCCTTTTAACTTTCTCATTCTGATATAATTCTTTTTCCAAAAAATAGGGGCCGGCAGGTGGTGGTATGGTGGTTGTGGGTAATGGACTCCCACATGGCCAACCGCGGTTGGAGGTTGGAGTCCTAGACCTGGCAGTTTGCTTTCTCTCTCTCAGTCGCTTGCTAGCTCTGTCTTTCTCTGATCTAATTAAAATAAAGTTTAATAAAATAATTCTTCAAAAATAATGATGATGATGAGAAAAACTGGCTACAAGTGAGAGGACTGAGAACTCATGTCCAAAGTTTTCTTGCTGTCTCCGGTTCTGTGAAAATAAAATATGGCTCTGGAAGTCACTTTCCATCACGATTTGTGAAGTGGCCTGGGTCATCTTCTGTAAACCTTGTATCAGACATTGAGGTAACCGACCCGCGTCATTGAGGGAGTGCTTGGTCCAGAATCAAACATTGTCCCTACTCTTCAGACAACACACTGTCCCTTGCTCCCTGGGCACACGAGCTGGCGCAAGTGGGCAAGGAACGTGGACCCGCTGACCTCCCAACCTAGCGACCGTTCCTCCATCTCTGAATTTGTCGCCTCTCTCTCTGCCTCCCCAGGGACCCTCTGAAAATCCAGCAGCTGCAGAACCAAATCCGCCTGGAGCAGGAGGCCAGCGCACGCCACTCCGCGCCACCCTCGCCGCCCTGCAGAACCTGGGCCCCGCGTCCAGCCATGGCACGCCGGCCTCCAGCCCCAGCTCCTCCAGCCTGCCCTCGCCCATGTCCCCGACCATGAAGCAGTTTGGCCGCGCGCCCGTGCCGCCCTTCGCGCAGCCCTTCGGCGCCGAGGCCGAGGCCCCGTGGTGCCCGAGCTCGCCGTCACCCCCGCCGCCACCGCCCCCGGTCTTCAGCCCCACGACTGCCTTCCCGGTATCCGATGTGTTCCCGCTGCCACCGCCGCCGCCGCCACTCCCAGGCCCGGCTCCAGCCACCCACTGCTCCTCGCCGGGGGCCCGCTTCGGACACAGCCAGACGCCTGCCGCCTTCCTCAGCGCCCTGCTGCCCTCTCAGCCTCCACCTGTCGCCGTCAACGCCTTGGGGCTGCCCAAGGGCGTCACCCCTGCGTGAGTGACAGTCGCGCGCATTCGCCTCCCCGCCCACCTAAGGTCACACCGGGCTCCCACACCTGCAAGGTGCCCTAAGCGCGCAACCCAGGGGTACCGTTGTGCCATTTTCCATGTTTCCCTCCATCTCACTTTTAAATTCTCTTCACATCAGCTTTTCTAAGCTGTTCTTTCATAACTACCTGGTCAACACTTTTTCCTCCGAATTCATCAATTTGAGAGTCCCATCAGGAACTACGCAAAACCTCTGCCGTGCTAGTAATGTAATAGTTACAGGGTGCCTAGCTACTGTCTTCACGTTGCACCACGCAATGCACCTGTGTGTGTTCATTCCGCAAGCCATCGCTGCCCAGGCAACAACTCAGGATTCTAGCAGTTCCACGATTTGCCCAGGGACAGCTAGCCGCCAAAGTCCTATCTGAATCCATGTCTAGTTGACTCCAAAATCCATGCTCTTACCACCAAACTATCATGCTATTTCTGAGATATATCACAATAGATGTGGAAGAGTTAGGTTATTGGGTATACCCTTCATGTTTTAATAGAATTAATAGAAAAACATAAATTAATAGAATTAAGAAATCAACCTTCATATACATCTTCATTAGAAAAGGAAGGGAACACATGTAAACAGATTTTTTTTGTGTTTATTTGTTTATTTACATATAATCACTATATATCTTTACAGTGTACAGCATTGCTTTTTTCCATACCAGATTTATGGTTTTTTGCAAATAAATGAGGGTGCATTGGGGCCAGGAGATGGCATAATGGTTGCATCGCCAAATCCCACATGGCCGACCGTGGTTTGAATCCTGGACCCTCACACTGGGCATGTGGGCCTGCATGCCCAAAATCCCAAGAGGAAAATGGATTGCTGTTTCTTGCTTTCTGTTTCTCTGGCTTTCTTTGAATTTCTCTGGTGAGTGCACATGCCCTATAGCAAAAAAAATCTCTTTAAGAAAAATAAAATGAGAGTGTATGTGGTCTAGTGTAGAAATGATGATACCTATTCTGTGCCAGTCCAGAATTATTTAAAAATAATTATTTAAAAATAATCTCTGAGTGTGACTCCTTAGTTTTTTTTTTTTTTTTTTTTTTTTTTTTTTTTTTTTGTGGAATTTTTTTTTTTTTTTTGGAGAGATTTTTGCTATAGGGTACGTGCATTCACCAAAAAGACAGAGAGAGACATAGGATAGAAAGCGAGAAATCATCCCCCTAGAGGGAATGGCCACGCCACAATCCCTTCTCCTCCGTTCTCCTCTTGGGATCTTGGGCATGCATGCACATGTGCCTGGCATCAGTTTAAGCCACTGGGTCCGGGACTCGAACCACAGTCGACTACATGGGAGTCCAGCAACATAGCCATTACACTAACTGGTCCCGTGACTCCTTAGTTTTCTATTTGCATATTATCTAGTATCTATCAGTCCTCATGTCATAATGATGATGTGGCAGCCCAGTGCAACTTTAAAATATTGAAGATAAATCTTTTAAAGTATTATGAAGATAAATAATATAACATCTATACAAATACACTAAAACCTTCAAAAGGAAATATACAGGTTTTTGGCATGTTCTATCGAAGGATAAAATGAGTTAAAGCTAGCACTTACTCATCTTACTGAAGATTTCAGAAATGAATGTGGGGTAGCAAAGGTCATGTCAGTACCCGTACCACAACTCTTCCTGTTGAAATCCCATGTCTGAGTTTGCCTGAAGCCCAGACAGAAAAGGAGAAAACCCATACTAAAGAATAAAAATGGGAAGACTTTAGAATCCAAGGTGTTTTCACTTATATCTAAAGGTAGTCCATTGCTAGAATGTACTAATGCCACTCTTTTTTAAGAGAGATTTTTGATATAGGTTGCAAGTTCATGCCAGAGAGGCAGAGAGAGACACAGAGATAGAAAGTGAGAAATCACCCCTGGGGGTGATGGCCATGCTGCAATTCCTTCTCCTCCATTCTTCTCTAGGGATCTTGGGCATGCATACACACACACACACACACACACACACACACACTCCACATGAGTTTTGAGTCACTGGGGTCCGGGACTCTAACCACAGCTGGCTACATGGGAGTCCAGCAATGTAACCATTATGCCATCTGCTGGCCCCACTAATGCCACCTTTTAAGACAAGTATTACTTTGTCTGGCCTTGACTAGGTGTACTGGAGAGCTTCAGGTAAGCTATGCCTTGTTTTGTTGAACACTTTCTACATCTTGACTATGCTCGAAATCTGGCTGCTTCTCAACTTCTTACTGGAAAAGCAAAGTCAAATGAATATGTAAATAAATAAGTTGGATGCAGGTATAGAATCTGTAATGATGTGATAACAGACGTCTATTGAAAGTTGAGTCACAGAGCCAGCCTGTGACGTGGTGGTTGAGGTGCTGGACTCCCACATGGCTGACTGAGGTTTGAGCCCTGGACCTTGTGGCTTGAAAATCAATCCAGTCAGGTGCACATGCATGCCCGAAGTCCTGAAAGGAGAATGGAGAAAATGGAACTACAGAGTGGCCATCCCTCCTGGGGGGATTTCTCACTTTGCTTTCCCTTCCTCTGTCTCTCTCTGGCGAGTGTACTGCCCTAGGGAAAAAATCTAAAAAAAAAAATAAAAGAAAGTTGAGTCAGTTAACTTGTCTGAGGAAAATCTTTGTCTTTCTCCCCTACTTTCTGTTTAAGTTTTTAATTGGCTGCTAGAAAGCAAAGTATTATCTTGCTCCAAAGAAGTTAACTATTTGAGAGGTTTCAAAACAGCGTAGTTTTTTCAGCCTTTTTCTCTAAAAGGGTACCAACTCTTGCTTCCCAGGAAGATAAGTATGTGTAAACAAATAATCTGTTCTAACATCTCATACAGAATTGATCAAAGGTTAGTCTTTCAAAGATGTTGAGTGGTCATGCTTTTTATGATCTCAAGTATTTTTTCTGATCTTTGATTTGGAACTCTTTTAAGAAGACACGCGTGGGAACAGCAGGCGGTATAGCGGTTAAGGTGCTGGACTCCCACACGGTTGACCACTGTTCAAGTCCGAGACCTGGCGGTTTGATTATCATGCTGGGCATGTATACGTGCATGCCCCAAAGCCCAAGAGATAAAAGGAGGAGAAGGGGATTGTGGTATGGCCATCCCCTCTGGTGGGGGTTACTTGACTTCGTGCTTTCTATCTCTTTTTCTCTCTGTCTCTCTGTGAGTATACACACCCTAGAGCAAAAATCTGTCAAAAAAAAAAAAATACAGGCTTAAGGACTTACCTCAAGTAACAGGAGCACTTTTTATCACCATCTGTCACAGTTATTCACATTTTATAGGGTCAAAATATTTTATGATTTTTTATCACAATGGAATCCCGTAGTTGCTGCCATTTCTTTAAAATTAATGGAGAAGTCGGCCAGCAGGTAGCATGATGGTTAAGGTGTTGGACTCCCACAAGGCCGACCACAGATTGGGTCCTGGACCCTGAGACAAGAATGGAGGAGAAGGGATTATGGCATGGCCATGGCCCCAAAGTGATTTCTCACTTTCCCTTTCTGTCGCTCCCACGAGTACACGGACCTTATGGCAAAAACCTAAAAACAAAAAGAAAGTGGAGAAGTCATGCTGTTTTTGTAGTTATGGAAAACTGTACCCAAAGATAGCTAAGTGCTCTGACTCCATAGGCAAATGACAATACAAGGCTGCAGAATTTGAGCTCTGTGCCCGCCCAGTAAGCCATTAATATGCAGTTACCCTTTCGTCTTCAAGGAATTTTTCTGTTGCTCACTCACACATACTCGAAGCATTGGTTCTTGTGGTTTGAAACATGTCTTTTGAAACAGTTTTTCCTCTGGGATACTGTAGTATCTGTCATTTACATTCTGCAATAAAAACAAAAATGTTGCTATTAACCCATCAGCATAATTCAAATAATTCACCAAAGATTGAGTCTCTTTCAGGGCAGCCATGACTAACTGGCATCCTTGAATCTGTAGGAAATCCCACACTACTGTCAGTTTAATACACACACACAAACACACACACGCGCGCGCACACACACACACACACACACACACACTGATATATGTATATGAGAATGACTTTTCTTTTTCCTTCAGTTTACCAGAGGGCAGTATGCTCTCTCACCAGTGAGAGACAGAGAGGACAGGAAGAGGGAGAAGCCACTCCCCAGTGGGGCATGGTCACACACAATCCCTTCTTCTCCACCACTCCCTCCCTTCAGGATTTGGGGCACACATGCACGTTTTTTTCCCAAGCCACTAGGTCCAGGACTGAATCACATGGTTGGCCCTGTGGGACCCAGCCACCTTAACCAATAGACCATAGGCCAACTCAGAAATTACTTTTTATTTTATATTTCATTGAGAACTTGTGATTAGGCCAGAAATTTGATTCAATGGTTTTGTAATACACCGTCTTCAAAATGGTCGTGGAAACAGTACATTATAAGAAAATTATATGTGGATTTCAAAAAAATTGCACTAAAATAAATTCATACTTTAATTCCATTTTCCCCCAAACGTTTTGAGGTGCCCTAATCTATGTCAAGTGTCAACAAATAGATTAATTATACATGACTGAGTGAAGTAGGAATCCAATAGATTTGGGAGGGGGATGCCTTGTTTTACAAAAAAACCTTAAATTTAGATTTCAGGTATCTCAGTGTGCTTAATCATCAATGGCATGCTCGCGTTGTGTTCTGGCATTGTTCCTTCCTTCATGTGGAGAAGAGAAGGCTGGCATGTACTGAGTTTCTAAACAGTCTGGGAAGATAAGGTTCTGTTTCTCCTGTCCGGACAGCAGAGGTCAGGGCAGAGAACAAAGGCTGTAAAAGCCAGTGATAAACCACAAAGCCAAGAAGGCAGAGGACAGTGGGCCGCTCGCAGCCCATAGTAATAGCATGTGGTTGTTGGCTGGTTGTGGTTTGGGGAGCCCCTGTACACCCAGTTCCTCAAGTGCCTGTCTTTCTTCCGGCATTACATTCCTCCCTGAAGTTG